ACGAAGTAACTTTTATTAGTTGAGGACAAATAACTTGGCGCATTCCCTTAAAATTGAGGTTTTATATTGAAAACAAGAATAATAACCGGTCAAGTGCGGGTCAGAATCGCGCATGAAGGGTTCCGTACCATCGTAAAACACGTTTATAGTAGGGGAATCCCCTTTATTTTTAATTTATTTTTATTTTTATTATTTGTTGTTGTTGTTGAAAATTTCAACTGTCTACCTATAACAGATCTTGAGATACAGTTCGCAGACGGACGGACGGACGGACAGACGGACAGCGGAGACTTAGTAATAGGGTCCCATTGGTTACCCTTCCGGTATGGAACCCAAAAACTTATGTTCCTTTTGTATTTTTCAACCTCTTACATATAATTAAATATTCTATCTGATTACCTTCTTTGTATTACACCTTTTTTGTCGTTATTCCATGCACTTGAACCAAACGGTGTGCTTCGTTTTTCGTAATGCGTGCAGCAAAGGAGTAGATTAAGTTCTGTCTTTCCGTCCGATTACAGTCTAGGTGTCTTTGAGAAAAGTGTGAATAGGTTATGATATGTTAAAATAGTATAATTTACCATCGAGGGTTTTAACACCACTTGCCATCAGGTGGGATTGTAGTTAAGCATATAACAAGGAAAAAAATGTTTAAGTAGTATTACGTAATAAATTACTTTTAAACTGAATTATATGAAACTAGCAATCTATCCCAGCTTTGCACGGTCGATTTATGGATTTCGAAAACAACGCCACCTAACGAGTATAATTGTGTGTCTACACTATTCTCTAATATACTTAATCACACACAAAAAATTTCATCAAAATCGGTCCAGCTGTTTAGGAGGAGGTTAACACATACACATGGACAGAAGAATTATAAAATATATAATATGCATGTATTACACATATCAACTTGCCTCTTAAATCATTCTGTCTATTGATAAAATTGCATCAAAATCTGTTTCGTCGTTTAAAAGATACAGACTAGAAAGATACTAAGCGTACAGACGGCGAGAAGCGACTTCGTTTTATATTATGTATGTTTAGTAAATACAATTTACTAAACATTTTCTCCTTCTTATTCATATAATGCACGAAATTTGGGCTATGATCACTCATTTATTTATTTATTCATTTATAGATTTCTCATGCGTTTCTCATAGATTGTATCAGAAATCTCCTCTGATTTTGCCATAGCTACCATGCTTTGCAGTGGGGATAGAAACCACATTACTTTATTATTTTTAATTAATATCAAAAACATGCTGCTGCCTATCTCGTGTTTCATATCCCTCTATCGTTTCTTACGAAAACCACAGGAAAATATGGTGTAGTGGATTCTCTTACATAGTCATTACACGGTATATAAACACTGTTGAAATTTAATTTTATTATGTTTTATTTCTATCAGTTTTGTGTATCAAAATAAATAAATAGTACGTAGAGTCCGACAAAGGATTTCATTATCAAAAGACATATTAAGCAACTTAAGGGCTTATCTCCAAAAGAGCATGAAGAACACTGTGCTCACAGGATTAATGTTCTGAGTTGCCAAAGAGGATCTTAAAGGTTTCTCGAGATAAATTGTTTTGAATTGTTTATTCTATTTTCGCATGAAAGTGTGAAAGGCTTGAGACAACATTTGTAAACTAAATTTATTAAAGTACTGCTACTGTTGTTCAAAACATTATATTTGTATCTTATATGTATATATATAAATCAATTGCCGTCCGTTAATCTCGCTAAAACAGAAAACGGCTGGATCGATATTGATGAATTTTTTTGTGTGTGTTTAAATGGGTCTCTGGATAATTTAGGTTCAAAGTTGGACCCGTTAGGTGGCGCTGTTGTTGAGATTCAAAAATCACCCGTGCAAAGCCGGGGCGGATCGCTAGTTTTATATAGTTTTAAATTTAGCTTATGGGATTTTTTTAATTTTCTGAGTAGCAATAATTATTTTTCTATCTCTCGCTCTCTCTTGCTGGTCTAAGATGGAATGCCTTACCACTTGTAATAATACTGGTCTCTATACTCTTTAAAACAGAATAGCGTAAGCACGCACTGCTCTTTGGCGCTAGAAATAGTTAAGGGGATGTTAAAGACCCCGACGGATTTCTAGGCGGAAATGGAGACTTACCATACCATTTGTATACTATTTGTTACATATTGCTAGACTATAAAATTTATTTAAAATATGCGAAATGTATATCGTGGAATTATTAATTAGTTTTTGAATATATTGAAATAAAATACAATAATAGACATAATACATAGAATTTGAGTTTAAAATGACTTTTCTCTCTCTAATTTTATTAAAATTTGCTCTCGTCACAGGACAGTATCGTAAATAATAGGTGAAATGAAATATATCAATAAATTAACGCACATAAGCATAGGCACCAAAATACCAAACATTTTTTAGCAGTGTATGAAAATAAAACATCAGAAATAAATAAATTTGTCTAAACAATCAAAAGAAAAAAGAAATTAATCCAATACTAAAACACTCTTAAAAATTACAATATACTATAAAAAATTTTCAACAGCCCTACCTATATCAATACAAAGTCATTGTAATATTAAATACTTCACGTAGCTTTTATTGTTGACTGCGTCTGACGAAACAAAATCATAACACATAAAAAAAGGACTTAATGTATAATGATTTTGTTCATTTCTTTTAAATTGTATACTGATTTTTATAACTTATTTCAAAAGGGAAATGGTCGAGTACATTCCGAGTGAAAAAAATAAATTTAAAAACAAAAGACGAACTTGATACTCGATCCTCCTTCACTTCAAGTCTTTTTAAATGAAATTGTCAAAAACCTTTTTTAAAACAAAGACAAGGGCTCTGGAAGTTAAGTAATAAAAGTCGAAGGTTTATTTTTACTTTGTAATACCCTTCAGATGAGCAATAATTCAATGGAAAAGATGATTATACAAAATGAAAAAAGAAATTAATTTAATAAAAGAACTCTTTTATTTTACCGTTACCGTTACAGCCTATTAAAGTCCACTGCTGAATATAGGTCTCCCCCATAGATAGCCCTATAGGGGGATATTTGTCATAGTTGCCACGCTTGGAAAGCTTTTATTTAGGTAACTTTTGATGAAATACGGATATTAATATATAGTATTTATAACGTATTAGATATGACTGCCATAATATTAGATGAATTTTCGTTTTTTTTTTTTTATTACCGGTACAGCTTTTAACCTAAAGACTTTTAACCATTTAAACTATAGCATGCTGTAAAGGTTTTTGCGAATTTTGATGCTAAATTATCATGACTCATATTTTTTATGGAATAGGGTGAAAACCGAGCACACAGTCCACCTGATGGTAAGTGGTTACTGTGACCCATAGACTTCTACATATATCCTCAATAAAGACTCAAAATGCTAATGCGTTGTCACCCGTGAGGACTAAGATGGAATGCCTCTTTCCCAGTAAAAAGGGTCTCCGGTTCTCTACACTCACCATACGAAACACAGCAGCGTTAAGCTGCTATTTTACGCTGGTATTCTGTGAGAGCGTGGTCCTTCCCCGGTCGAGCCGACCCATTCGTTCTACAACTATACTACTAATATATCTGCAGCATGGCTCTACCACGTCCATAAACGTACATTTAAATAAATGCTTAAATTAATTGATCTTTAGCTTTTCTCTAAAGGCAGCAGAATGAAAATGGTACTGAGATAATGAATACTTAATTTAATTAAGCGATAATATCAGATTTCTTAAATTAAGTATACGATACATAAGGCCGTTGAGGTTCGTTCGATTTTGTTTGCCTTTACCATACACTTGCCATTTGAACGCTCAGTGTAAATTTAATTTTTTTTAATAATAAAGTGAAGTGAAAGCGGTGTTTATTATGCATCTACACGTCATGATGGACAAAATTGTTTTGAAGTCCAGTTTTATTTCACGTACGAACGTAAAAACCTTTTAATATATACGCACAATTAAGCAGACATAATTTAAAATTTTACGTTACGTATTAATTTTCCATGTATCTCAAAATGTGGAGTATTGTACTAATATGTTGTCTTGCAAAAACCGGGTCAGTAAAAATAAATAACTTTTCACTTTAAAATGTTTAGAGGTAATGATGTAAATAATGTTGATTCGCAGTATGCAATTAGTTTTAAAATTAAAAATTGATTCAAGAATGTTTGCGTTGTGTTTGCTTCTTTGACAAATTTTCCTTTAATATATGATGATATTTAAGACGTATATAATGGTGAAGCACAGAACACAATTACTCTCTACTGGTTGAGGATCAGAGTTACTAGATTTGAAGGACGTCTGGACGTCACAAATATTTAAAAAATCTGATTTTTTTGATAACTAGATGAAATAAATAACATGAAATCTCATTGCATAGATCTATCCTTAATGGTTTATTTATATAATGCATGATAAGACATATTTATTCAGTGTTGTAACAATTTGTCTTGATGACGCTTGTATTAAAGTCTTGCCCTAGCATGCGTGTCAGTTCATTACCCGACTTTATCCTAATACACATTTTGGAAACATGTTCTAAGAATAGATTTTATGAATACAACGCTCTATTATTCATATTGAATAAAATATTTTAATGAAATTATGGCAAGATCATAGGCAATATTTTGTTAAGCGTTTGCTGATATAAAAACGCAGATTCGAATCTTGCACATAAATATATTTTTAAAGCCCACCATTTGTTGTTACTTCACTTTATTTTTTACGGGTCCTAATACTTGTTCTTGTACTATTTATGTATTTAAAATGTCTCCACTTTATAGGAGAAAATACTAGACTAAGGGGTTACATTTTCAACAGAAAAATACATGAACTATAATATTATCTCCTGCAGTTGATAGTTTAATTGATAAAAAAGTCATTAGTATGATCGACAAGAGTACACGAGAGAATAATATATATATATATTTTTTGATATCTTTAAACAAAATATCATAATGTGATTTCGCTATGTTTCAGGTACATGAAAACACTCAATATGAATCTAGTCATCAAATATTTATTGTTAACGCTGGCACTGACTTCTGTACAAATATCGTACACAGAGAGTCGGCTTAGTGAAAAACGTAGAGACAAAACTGATAGACGACATCATTCTGTAAAGGTTATGGATAATTTGTGCGAAATCGCAAATAGAGAATCTAAAGTACATTGTTACTGTGAAAGTACTGAAGTCAATACCGCCACGAGAGCTGATTGCTGGGTATTCAATGGTGGCATTAATGAAAGTGATCCAATATGGGCTAGCTTTAATTCTCAACAGAATTTGGAGAGACTCACTTTTAACGTGAGATCGGATGGAGCTCTGACATTCATTCCTTTACTAGTGATTCAACGACTTAAGAGATTGCAAAAATTATATATACACTATGCAACACTTAATAAAATAGAAAAAAGAACTTTTACAAATATGACGACTGTAAAGGAAATAACCTTAACGAACAACAAAATTACAGAACTAGACTTTTATTCTTTCACAGCACTTCCGTCACTTGTAAATTTGACAATAAAGGAAAATAAAATAACCGAGGTGCAAAGAGATGTTTTTGTTGACTTACCAAGTTTAAGATATCTAGATTTGTCATTCAATAATATTAACCTCGCCCATGATGGCTGTTTTGAGCATCTGTCAGTACTCAATGATCTACAATTGGAGGCTAATTTGATTGCTGTTCTCACCAGAGATACTTTCCGCGGACTTGCCAATTTGACAAGATTGGATTTAAGGTCGAACAAGCTTTCAATGATCGGTGATTTGACATTCACAGAATTGTGGAATTTAAATGAACTCCTCTTAGATAACAATGAATTGAAATATCTATCTGAAAGAGCATTTGACGGGCTCGCTTTACTTGAGAAATTGTCTATGACCGGTAATCAATTGCAATCTATCAATGAAGGTCTATTGGAAGGTGTTAGAGGTCTTAAATTATTGGATTTAAGAAATAATCAACTGGAAACTTTGTCTTTAGATACAGTAAAACCAATTATAGAAAATTTAAAGGATAAAATGTCAGTCCTGTACCTGAGTGGTAAGTTTAATTTTTTTTAAGCAATATCTCATTCTTTGTCTTAAGATTTAAGAAAAATATGCAACATCGTAATAAGAAAAGAATAATTTCTAAGAATTTTTTTTGTAATCTTAAAAAAATTATTTTATGCAACGCAAAACACGTCATTCAGTCAAACACTCCTAGAAGCATAAATAACTATATTTTCCTGAACAATGACGTGCAATCCCCTTGGGGATTTAGTCCCCCAGCACCCTACTCAGTTTAAGGGCATTTAATGAGTGTAAAAGTCCCCTCCGGCAAGTAAACGTTGGATTAATAACATTATTCAGTGCTATAAATAGAAATTATAAAGACTTAACAAGCATGTGTTCATAACTATAATATGTATTATTGTTATTGTATATGTTTGGTGAATGTAATATTTGTTGTCCTCTCAGCCTTGAAGATAATAAAATGAAATGTTTTATTTTGTTACTAAATAGAATAATTTTAATTCAATACGCACTTTATTACAGGTAACAAATTTAACTGTGACTGTCGGCTGAGTTGGATTCAGTCTCTTCAAAATGAAACTAGAAGTGAACCTGTTAGATTAGCTTTAAGAGGAGTTACTTGCACTTTTGCTAAACAAGCTAATTTGCATCATCAATTGAAACTGAATACAAATGACGACACATTAGATAAAGTTGAAGATGTGTTTGAAGTCGCTACAAGCAGTGACCTGTTGCAACAAAATTACGAAGAGTCTTACGAGGATAATCCGTTATATAAGTTTGATAGAACAGAAAAACCAGTTACGGATGAATTGGTGTTAGTGGACATATCTGTTGAATCCTTACCCTGTCCCGGTGAAACACTGCTTAAAAGTGAAGATTCGCTGATGTTGTCGGCCAAAGATGAAAGTTATTGGCTACAAAGTTCAAGTACAAGAAACAATTTAAATCATGCTATAGGATTGGCTTTGATCGTAATATCAAAATTTTACTTAAATTTTTAAAATGTTTTTAGTAAGTGTATAAAGATGTTTTGTAAGGGAGTCTATGTTATGTTTAGTAAAATCAACGTTTAAAACAAGCTGTTTTAAAGCTTGATTTTATTAGATATATTTATTGTTATATAATGAAATAGTGTAAAAAAATATTATGGAACTGCATAACCTAAGCATTTAACAATTGTGCAATTTATGCATAAAATTTGAATATAAATTCCATAAAATGATGTTTTAAAATATGTGAAGGCGTATGGGCTTGCACAAGGTAAATATTTATTTTGTTCTTAATATTTCTAATATTTTTCCAAAATAAAAGAATAAGTAATATTCTATAAATTTTCCACTGCATAACCCACAGCTTATACGAGTAAAACGTCCACACATCTTTGTTTTTTTTTTGCAAGTATTTCTAAAATTAATGTATAAAGTTTTTACGAGACTAACTCTACTGCCAGAATGATTACATCTGACCGATCTAAATATATGGTACTGACTTATATACTCAGATTTGGGCTCAGTTATTGTGCCGAGGTATAAATTAATTACGATTTCTGCTTATCCATTTTTTCATTTCTATTCAATTTTAATTCTAATTATGAAAAACAATGAAGTTAAAGGGTCAAAGTCTATATTTATTAAATAGCTGGTTACAGGCCTTCTCTGATTTATGACAGTATTTAGAAGCAAAGAAATATTTGTCACAATGACTGTTGGGTTATACTGACGAATTTCTTATGTTCCCGAAATATTTTAATAATTCGCCAATATGCTGGCTCTCTCATAATTATTTCTTTCACCAACGAATAAGTGATTAATCTATTAATAGTTATGTTTAACAAATGCAATTGTTACCATTTCATTCAATTCATCTTCCCTTTACAAGTCCACTGCTGAACAATGACCCATGGACCCACCTGCATTCACCAATTGTCTTCATGTTTTAGCAAGTTTTTAACCATTTAGTGGGGGGTGCCTTACGCTTCGCTTACTGTAAGAAGACTGTCACACAAAAACCTTTCATCTATATCGGCTTTTCTTTCTTCGACCTATACGGCCGGCTCATTACAACTTCAGATTACAGATACAGTGGGCATTGTCGATTACACTAGTACTACTGCGGATATTTCATATTAATTCTCTCATGCTCATGCGATAATGACGATGAACCAATTTAAGTAACTTCTCGCTGAATCTTAAGAAAAATAAATGGTGTAAAAGTATTTTCCTCAAGTAAATGTCTTTCAATAACAAGCTTATTGGAGAGCTACGACAAATTAACTATTAGATTAAATAGGCGTTATTAATATAATGCCATGTTAGGACAGTCATATTTTTGCAGATAATAGACGCCAATATAATTGAGATATATCGTTAGAAAAATATATTGTAGAAATGTGGTGAAGCTATATGTCAATGAAATTTTAGGTTATGTACATAAGATTGATATAAAGTAATGTGTGTAATCAAGTCCTTATCGTTTTAAGGTTGTTAATAATTTATTTGAATAAATGGAAGAGAAAGAAAGATGTTTTATTTTGTACCTACGAGTAATATTAAATCAGTTATCTTTCCACAAACACCACTACCATCACAGCCTAGCAAATGTCCACTGCTGCTCCTCCATAAACTGACCTGCTGGGGCTATAGTTGGCATGCTTATCAAGCGCGTTGGCAACCGCAGTTATTTAATGGCTCGAGTTATTATCAGGAAGATTCTGCTGCCAATCTCCTATTTTTCATATTCCACCGTTGCCTCTTACGACATTCACGGAATGATATGAGTTGTAAATATTCTTAACTTACGATTCGGTCTATAATGCACAACTTAACCGTAAATTTATATGTAAGATTTGTTTTTCTCATGACAAAATATTATCCTACAAAAGTAAGTTTTTATATTAATGAAGGTCGTGAAGAGAATGTTCATTCAATGTGTACAAACATTTTTGAAAATACATATATCCAATAGAAATACACGTTTTGTTAAAAGTTGAACTAAACCTATTTTTGTTGTTATAGTCACCCTATTTCAAAAGAGGAATCAACCTATATGTTTACAAAATATACTTACCAAATGCTCAGCGCTGTAGAAAAACATCGTGTAAATACCTGCAAATGTGAACAGTAAAATATTTGGAAAACATAAAGAAGAGAAGCCAAATTGAGAGGAGAACTTTGCTTTGTATGTTATTATGTATTATTTTGATATAATATTTCACTATAGTTTTCTTCACTATATTATAGTTTGGCAAATATTCCTGTAAGAGTGAAAATGCGCCACTACAAAACAAACACTGGTTTTGGTTTTAGTTGGAGTTTTACAAAAATCAATCACAATTTCAGTATTGTCCAAGATATGGGCAACTAGACCGTGAACATTTGTTCATTCCGTAAGAATCTTACTAGGGGCGGCGATGTCAACTACAATGCTCTCACTGCGGTAGGGTTCACAACGATGAGTTAGCTCTTCATGAACTTTTCTTAAAGTAAAGAACATGTAAGACGATATTTTGAACGTTTGTATTCGTAGGACATTTGACTATATAAATATTCGACCGATTGTAGTCATGTCGGAAGATGATGGCAAAAGATTCAAAAACATGAAAATTGATTTTTATGAGATAACTGAATACTTTATGTAGAATATTTAAGCGTATGAAGTTATTAAAATAATTGTAATATCTGCGACTAATAGTTACTGCTGTTAACAAGAAGGCTGGTTTCTTTTCATGAGGAACCAGCATTCTTCATGGTAACTAGAAAATAAATAACCAAGGAAAAGGATATGGGTTAAGAATATATAAGCATTTAATCTGAGTCCGCAAAGGAGACATAATTAAGCCATATTTTAAACGCCAGGAGGCTAATTTGCAGCCCCTTAATCTTAAAAATAGTTTTATAAACGAAGCTTCTAATAAGTATATAAATTGATTTAAAATCAAAACTATCTATTCGTTTAATTTCTAAGTAATATTTAATACATTTTATTTTGATTCAAACATAATATTTTAATTTTGTTCATTTAAAATATTTATTGCACTTAAAATGTACGATTGGTGGAATTAATGGCTTAGGGCATTCTCTATTAGTCAAGCATGAGTTAAGCAAAGAAACTTAAGCAGGTGCCATAAAAACATGAGAATATCTATACGTGAATGTATGTTATAATAATGTATCAAAATAATAAAAGTACTTCTTATTTATATTTTGCTACTAGTAACGCCATCTCATGTGCAATGTAGACACTATATAGTATTAAGTAAATTTATGGTACTATGCCAATTTTATATAAGATCTGTATGATTGTCTATGTATACTTTAAAAAATAAAACAAGTCTTTTAGCGACATTCACGTGTTTAATTATAGGTTATTGGCTTATACCGAAATTTTCAGTTTTTTTCGTTCTACTCGTAAATAGATAGTGAAAGTTGTATCGCGAAAACATGACTACAAACTATATTGCCAGTGTTCTAAATTAAAAGGAAGAGATAACTATGATAAGTGCAGCTTTGCGGCTGAAAATTTGTTGGTGCTCGAAGGGATGGACAAGTACATCAAACCGACGCCAGATTTTGAACTTAAGCCTGTGGACGATGCAAAAACGAAGGCAAAGCTAATATTGACTATAGACCCGTCATTTTACGTGCATATTTAGAACATCAAGAGCTCAAAAAAATTATTGACTAACAAATGCGTATTTAATGTCGTTTTCCTGAATGGAAAGTTTAAAAAACAGAGTAGTACGTGGATTCAAGAGCAAGCGCACATATGACGGCGAACGAATCTTGGATTAGAAATATGATATTCACACCGCACCGTGGTTATCTGAAATTGTGGTAGCAAACAAATTAAAAGTGCTAGTGGTTTGTTCCGAAAACGTCGACATTCGAATAAAATTCAACACAACGGTGAAAGATATGCTATGCTTGCCTAGTTTGACAATAAACTTAATATCTGTAAGTGAGCTTATTAAACATGGAAATAATGTTAGTTTTGATAAAAAACACTGCTATATACGAAACATAAGCAATGTTTTGGTAGCCACCTCTAATTTATCGGATGGTGTATATAAGCTAAGGTTGCACAAATGGAGTTGTATGTTGGCTACACCGGTGGTAAGTGGCAAACTATGGCACAGAAGGCTGGCGCACATCAATAGTCAGGACATGAATAGAATGAGAAATGTGGTGGATGGTTTATCATATGAAAACAATTTCGACATAACCAAGTCTCAGTGTACTACTTGTTGCGAGGGAAAGCAAAAAAGATTACCCTTTTCGCATGTGGGTAAAAGAAGCACAGAGTCGCTACACGGAATTTATACAGACCTTTGTGGACGATGGAAACTGCACGATATTTTATACAGTTCGTTGATGATTTTAGTAGAATGACGTTTATATATTTTCTACGAAAGAAAAATGAAGCATTTACCTTTATCAAGATCTTTGAAAATGGTGGAAAACCAGTTAAATAAAAAGATAAAAATACTAAGGTCAGACAACAGACTACAGTATACCAACAAAGAGTTTGAGAATTATTTAAAGCAAGAGGGTATAATTCATCAAAGATCGAATAATTATACACCTGAACAAAATGGTCTATGTGAGCGAGCTAACCGTACTGTGATTGAGAAGGCTAGATGTCTAATGTACGATGCAAAGCTTGATAAAAGATTTTGGGCAGAAGCAGCAAACACTGCTGTCTATTTAAAAATAGATCTATTGCATCGGGACTTCAGAAAACTCCATATGAATTGTGGTATAAAAAAACAGACCTAAGCCACATACGTTTATTTGGTTGTAAAGTCATGGTACATACCCCTAAGGAACGTCGTTTAAAGTGGGATAAAAAGTCTGCGGAACACATATTAGTTGGCTATGGTGATAATGTTAAGGGCTACAGATTATACAATCCTGCCAAGAAAAATCTTATTATCAGCAGAGATGTTATTTTTATGGAAGAAGAATTGGGTACCGAAAAAATATGTCAGGAGTCGGCTATCTGG